TTTATTTGAAACTATAACGGCTGTAGCAAATCTCAATAGCTCATGTAGCAACTACGTACACTGATACATACCTATATTAAATACATACATTTTTGCTACACAGTTTTATACATATACATACAATACTCTAACATTTGAAGAAATGTCTCAAAGACATGAAAATCACCTCCCATTTCCCATAGAAATCTCAAGCTGAATAATGACGGTAAAATCATCAAAATACCGAATATCGAGAGGTACCGTTATATGGGGGCTGTACGAAGACTTAAACCTGCACAGACAATTTTCCGTCTTAGACTATAGTATCTATTACGAACTTCAAATACTACATTTGAAACAATTCTGGGGAATAATGTCGCTAAAATCATCAAAATACCGAATATTGAGAGGTACCGTTATATGAGGGCTATTTGAAGTCGTGGACCTGCACCGACAATTTTCCGTCTTAGACTATAGTATCTATTACGAACTTCAAATACCAATTTTGAAACAATTCTGGGGAAAAATGTCACTAAAATCATCAAAGTACCGAATATCGGGAGGTGCCGTTATATGGGGGCTATGCGAAGACGTGGACACGCTCAGACAATTTTCGGTCATAGGCTGTAGTACCCATTATGAACTTCATTTGAAACATTTTCCGTGAATAATGTAGCTAAAATCATCAAAATACCGAATATCGAGAGGTATCGTTAGTAAAAAAAGTAAAGAGTAAAATTTTATCAACTTCTTCATTTCGTTCGGAAGCTAGAGTGATTTCCACAGACGGACACAGGCGGAAAGACCGGCGGACATAGGCTAAATCGACATAGAATTTTATGCTTATCAAGAATAAATATACTTTGTGGGTTTTAAAATGTATATTTCAAACAGAATACAAACAAAACAGAATGCCAACCTTATATACCCTCCATACTGTGGGGGGAGGGTATAAAAAGAAAAATATTTAAAGGTAGTTGTGTCTGATATTAAAGATTCAGAGAGCGCCTTGAACATTTTGAAATTTACATACGGGGTGAAATGAAAAACCTGCAACCAACTTCAGGCTGCTGTCATTTCTAAGCCACTCGTCCGACAACTGTTAAAACTATTCCAGTGACAGCTCATTATATTGTTTACAGGAGTACAAAAGCATTTTGATGAGATTCGGCATTTAAATGTGAATAAATTGTGCGTCTCGTACCATTGCTCGTTACCGTGATATTGGTAGCGTAGCCCGACATCAAGGAAAACAGCAACATCAGCAGAAATGGTTCGAAAAGTAAAGAAATCGAAACCCGCGTCGCAGTGGGCGAAAAATGGCTCGTGAGCTGAACATATCGCAATATTCCATTCGGCAAATCTAAAAAAAATAAGCCATTGAAATTCCGAAAAGTGCAAGAACTTACACTGCAACAGAAAGAAAATAGACTCAAAAGAGCTGAAGAGTTGCTACGCTCGTCCGAAAGTGGTGAACTGCTGAATTTTGTTTACTCCGATGAGAAAACATTCGTTGTCCAGCAGTTCGTAAACTAACAAAATTATCGTCTTTACTTGCCAAAGAGGTCAGCTGAAAAAGTGCATCTTCGGTTGGCCACCAGAACTCAAGCGCCGGTCATGGTGATGGTGTAGACCTCCATAACTGGCGATGGTCGCTCTCCGCTCATATTAACATGACATTAGAATAAATGCCGAATGTTATCGCAAAAATATTCTGGAGGCTGTATTAAAGCTTTGGGCGCAGACCTTGGACATTCCAGTAGGACTCAGCATCATTGCACTCAGCGCGCGCCTCCATCCAAGAATGGTTACTAAATGAGGTTCTTCTCTTCATTTTCAGTGCACAATGGCCGTTAAAATTTCGGGATACCAATCCGTTGGACTATTGTGTCTGGAGTATATTGGAAAGCAAGGTTGGCACTAAAAAATGCCAAAGTGTCGATCACCTCAAGCAAGGCCAAAATACCGCAGAGCAACATTCGGGCAGCGTGTGATGGTTTCATTGGCCTATTGAAGGCCATAATTCGCTAAAGGTGACCAATTCGAAAAAATTTAAACTTATTCTAAATTTCTGACATCTTTTGCTTTCATTTAATAAAATTTAAAAATAAAAATGTAAAAAATATGGCGTTTGACTTTGTTGCAGTTTTTTTTATGTCGCCCTGTACTCTGTAACAACGATATTCGGGGAAATATATCAAATACAACTCAGAAATACCTTTGACAAATTTAATAGAGATCGGATCAAATTTGTATATAGCTTCCATATATATATATATTTTTATCCGATTTCAAGTTAATTGTGCACCAAATGAGTAAAATAAGCCCGAATTGAAAAGGCACAAATGCCTCGGCTAGTTTAGTAGAAATCGATTGTGAGAAGTATGTTCCTTTCAGATATTGTTAGTTCCGTTGGACTTATTTTAACTATAATCATAGTTGATATGATTTAATTCTCACTAATATGTGAAGCTCTACTAAAAATGCAAAGTGGTGTCGGGTATCATAAGGTCGGCACCACCCGACTAAAGGACTTTCTTTACTGGTTTTTGATGTGAAGTTTCGGTTGATGGGATGCCCTGTTGATGTATTCTACATGGTGGTCAAGAACAATATTTTTGACCCAAACAAACTTCAATCTATTTTTGTAGGGCATAAACATTAATCAAAAAGTCATAGAGAAGTTTCTTTCCTAGTGTTACTGATTCTCTACGGCCGATTTTATATCTCAAAATATTACACAAAAATTATAATTTGCATTTGAAATATACTTTAAAATGGTTCAATTATAACTATTTCCGAATCCCGACACTTAATATAAAAAATTTGTCAACAATATTTTTAAATCCACGGCTAAATTCCAAGGGACTTTTTATGGATACTTAAAAAAAATCCGAAATGCCACACTTCTTCTCTGCCCCTAATTCTCTTCTCATGCAAAATTTCGTGTCAATTAGTTGTCAATTGTGACCTGTAGAGCGACTGCAAAATCAGAAAAATTGTAATTTTGTATTGTCCGATTATCGAGAAATTAAAAATTAAAATTTGTCTGATTTTGCAGTGTAGAAAAACTTTAGAAAATGTAGAATTCAAAATTTTAAGACAAACTGAAAAAATCGCATGCGATAAAAAATATAAAAAAAATTGAAAAAAGTAACAAAAATATTCACTTTTGAATTTTCATATTTTTAAGAGATTTGCTCAGACTTTATTCCTTTCTCTTAAGAGAAATTGGTGAGAATTGTGAAAATCAGTCGGTCAATCTTAACTTATAAGCAGAATAACTTTTTTAGCTCTTTAACATATATATTGTACCTATTTTGCTATATATCCGATATCTAGCTAATATGGTCAGAAGTGACGTTTTAATGCATTTGTGATTTAGCCGGGTTAAAAAATATTCCAGGTTCAGTGGAATTTTTCGTATTTTTTGACAGAAAAGTTATGAGTTTTGTCCGATGACCGGCATGCATTGGTATACCTGAGCCCAGCTCTAAACCCCCAGTCCATGCAAAATTCCGCATCTATTGGTTTATAATTAATGCCTGTAGAGCAACAGCAAAATCAGGAAATTTTTATGTTTTTCGTCCATTTCAACTCCTAACTATTTGAAAATCAGAGACCTAACAAAAAATATTTTAAATTCACGATGAGCTACCAAGAAAAAAATAAATATTTTAAAATTCGCAAGTGAGGGTTACATAAATCTACAAAGTATAATATTTATCCTAATAATACTAAGAAACAGTGATCCTTGGTCCACTTGCGTCGGGAAAATGTAACATTTTAATTCGTGAGCATCAAACAAATATTCCTAACAATCCATAATTATAATGTTGATGGGCTTTGAATACAGTAAGTAATTCCAATAAGCCCTCACAATACATTCTAGAATTCAACAATTTCAGTCCCGATGAACTAATTGCTATTTTTATGCCCACACATGCAGGAGTAAATTGCATACATTTATATACAGAACACAAATATATGAATTCGAAAAGTTTTTTCTTTCAATTTCGTGCGTGACAGCCAACCAACCACCAGTCAGACGATCGAAGCAACAATGATCGCAAGTCGTCTGTCTGGTGGCTGACATCGAGTCATTCGACTTGCCTTATTGTCTGGTAAATGCAAAACATTTATCCATTTCTGCGCTTTGTTCGTTCGTTGCTTCATTCATTCATTCATACGCCATCCATGGCTGGTTGGATGGCTGGCTATCCTCACTTCCATACTTCACTCACCATTCCAATATTTTTAATGTTGTTATGTGAACTCTTGTTCTCCTCAATGATGATGATATTCTTCATATTTTTAACAAGGGCATGAGTATGAGTTACGCACACACTCACACACACACACTGCCGCACTCGCATACACGTAAGTAGTTCACATGTATAACATTTATTTTTTTTATATACACTGATTGTTACTTTGCACGACAATGGCAACAACAACACCAACAACGATGACGACAACGGCAACAGCAACAATAATAACAGCCAACATCGGCAATGAGGACAATAAAACAGGAGCAAAGCCCATTTAAAATAAAGCCAGTTGTTTGGTTGGTTCATTTAGCCCTCCCCTCCAATGCTGCGACGGCACCACTGCGACGTCGGCAGAGAACTACGCCGAGGCAAGGCCAGAGCACAACAAAAACGTAATCAACCCCCATTTTATGGCTGCTCTGTTGTTGACGGCGGTGGTGGTGTTTTGATTTTATGTGTGTTGCGTTGTTGTTGTTGTTGCTCTTGTGTTTGGCATCTGAGAATTGTTACTCTGAGTTTTTGGTAGAGGGCCCTGAGGATGATGTTGATGGTTGGCTGACAGGCAGGCTGACTGCTTGGTTGGTTGGTTCGTTGTTGTAGTTGAACGTTTCTTTTTTTCTTTTTGGGATTTGTTTGTAACCAACATCAACATTTAAGAAATTTGAATCAGTTGCAAACGAGTTCTCAGTGCGTTACGACGGCGACCGAAAATAATTGCGGTATCCAAAAAATAACAAAAAAAGAAACTGAAAAACAAGTAATAAATTGTAACATCATTTTTAAATTGTTACAAATTTTAGAAACAACAACAAATTAAAATTTGTGGTGGATTACCGAAAAAAAAAACACATAAATCATAAAACGACCAACAAAAAAGTGGCAAACGAAATTTACACACACTTTTCCAAGGAAATACAATAAAAGTGAAACATTTGCTTTTTTAATTTAAATAAAAAATTCAAAATAATTATTTAGTGATGCTTTCGTTACAAGTAAATAACAAATCGAGTTATTAAATTTAATTTTATAAACAATTGTATCAAAAACCGAAATACCCAGAAAAAATAGTTGCCTTCTAATTGGCTTCCCTGTGGAATTATGAGTTTACCCAGCGGCGTTGATATGCAAAATCTCATGTCCCAGCATCCGGTCTTAGGCGCTTTGCCGCCTGCATTTTTTCTGCGTGCCGCCTCCGAGCGCTATCAGCGCACCCCGAAGTGTGCCCGTTGCCGGAATCATGGAGTGGTCAGTATTATTCCCAAAAAAAAAATATATTATTTTTAACTCAAGAATAGCAACAAATAGCGGTTTAAGTGTAACCACATCCAAAATTATTAAATTAATAAGTATCCATTAGGAACTTCAAATACTTGAAACAACTTGAAACAATTCCGGTGAATAAATTCGCTAAAATCATCAAAATACCGAATATCGGGAGGATGGGGGCTCTACGAAGACGTAGACCTGCACAGACAATTTTCTGTCTTAGAATACTGCGGCATTTCTTTGTAACATGGAGAAGGAATCGAGATAGGCCGATAGGTACTTTTGAGGATCTTTATAGAATCACATTCTGAGTCGATTTATGCATGTCTGACTGTCCATGTATTCTTGTGAACAAAATGCAGGTCGCATTTCCAAAAAAAGAAATGATTATCGGAGTTAATTTAAAATTAGCCCAACACAAAATTTAATTAAAATCATCCACTCTATGCACATTTTAACTTTTAGTCACCTAACTTTTAGTCAACTTTTAGTCACCTGGATCATATCCCGACGTAGAGCGTTGTCGGGTCTTTGTAAAGTTGAATGAAAAATAAATGCCTTGCAATGTTTTGGTCCTATCGCTTTAAAATTCAGCTCAGTGAATGCTCTGACAAAAATCGGGTTAACTGTGGATTAAGCCCTCATATATATATTTTGCCAATTTGGGCATAACTAGCACTGTTTCGGGTCGATATCTTTCAAATTCAAATTGAGGAGAGTCATTTGAACCAAATACTAAGAAAAAAAAGAAGTATTTCTTCAAACTTCCAACTATCTACTCCAATCTTACTAGGATCATATCAACCCAAAATTTCAGGTTATTTACAATCAGATCATTTATAAAATATGGATAACAATAAAACAATTTTCATCACCGGTCCATCCGAATCTGACACATTTATTTTTGAGTTTACTTCGGTACCCAAGCGTAAGATGATGAAGATTTAGACATCCAATCGGATGAATTTGTAAGCAATCCGAAAGAGTTTGGTAATATTAATTTATGGACAAGCAGAAAAATTGTTCAGGTTCATTGTAGACCATTTGGGATAAATTTTTCTGTTCAAGGACAAACTCCAAATTTTTTGTAGAAAATAGGTTAAAATTTGAATTTGCCCTTGTAATATAATTACCTCTGATTTAATCTGAGTTATGGAAATAAGAAACTTCAGATTAAACAAGTCAAAATGGCGTTAAATTTGGCTTCCATCATGTGAAAACATAAATTATTAAGAAATCAGCTGTCTTGAAATTCCTAAATTGGGGAGGTTGGTTCATGTGTCGAAACCCGGAAAAAATTCTGAATAACAGGAGCGTTTACATGATTTCTTTTTGAAACAATTTCAGAGGGCTGAACTGGTAAAAGAAACTAAATTTTTCATATAAAGTAACCATTCCGACGGGGAGGTCCCAGAGCCGACCTATGCGACTGAATAATAGTCTATTTGGTCAAGAAATATGGTTAGGACCCTCAAAAACCCCTAATTGGGTTGTGTGGGGCCTTCTTTTAAATTTCAAAATATTAAACTTCTACCTCTTCAGCTAGAACATGTGATAAGGAACGTAAAAACGCCTTTAATCGGCCGTTGGCCTTTATTTAGGTTGTGTTAAAATGTGGACCGATATATATATATTTTTTTTGTAAAATGCATTTTTATTTCAGCAGAGACCTTTGAAATACGGAAGAAATACCCAATAGTGAACCGATATAGACCATTTCAAATACCAAACTCAAGGGTATAACAAATATCTATGTTAAATTTTATCAATATTATCAAAAATATTGTTACCTCTATGGTGGAGGGCCAATAAGGGGACAAAACAGATTTTATTCAAAGTGGTTCAAAAATAGCTGATATTAGATATGCAAACTTCATTTAATTTCATACATACAAACTGAGAATTGGATATTTGAATAATTGGATAAAACATATTTAATGCCATGTTTACGTTAGAAATTTTTGTAGTGTTAACCTACTTTGAGAGGATTTATTTGAAGTAAAAGTAATGGATATGACAATTTTAATTCAAATTCAGTGGGTTAACCCTCATATATATAAACGTACTATAAAGTCAATTTAATCTACAGGGTTAGATAAAAAACTGCAACAAAGTCAAACACAATAATTTCTACATTTTCTTTTGAATTTTATTGAATGAAAGCAAAATATGTCGGAAATAGCATTTTCGAATTGGTCACCTTTGGCACGAATTATGGCCTTCAAACGGCCAATGAAACCGTCACACGCTGCCAGAATGTTGCTCTGCGGTGTTTTGGCCCGTTCCCTGCGAAGCGCTTGCTTGAGGTGATCGACACTTTGGTATTTCTTAGTGCCAACCTTGCCTTCCAAAATACTCCAGACACAATAGTCCAACGGATTTGTATCCGGAGATTTTGATGGCCACTGTGCCCTGAAATGAAGCGAGGAACCTCATTTTGAATCATTTCTGCTGATGTTGCTGTTTTCTTCCGTCCACTTCCTTGACGTCGGGCTACGCTACCAGTATCACCATAACGAGCGATGGTACGAAACACAAACGATTTATTCACATTTAAAATCTGGAATGCCACTTGTGGTTTTCCAGCCAAATATAAGGAAATCGCGCTTGAATTCCATCACGAATAACTTTTTTTCTGGAAAATTCTCACCAAAATGCTTTTGTATGCTTATAAACAACATAATGAGCTGTCACTGGAATAATTTTAACAGCTGTCGGAGTGGCTTAGAAATTACAGCAGTCTGAAGTTGATTGCAGTTTTCTCATCTCACCATGCAATCAATATTTTGCTACGGTTTTTAAAAAAAATTTGGAGTCTTTTGCAAATGTTCTAAATTTTTTGATCAGCGTCCTACATGTTCTGTTCGTATAAAGTATTTGTATATATGTAATTATATTTCAGCAAGTTTTGAGTTCAGTTCCAGCAAGTTCAAAGCTCCGAATATATTGACATATTATATTGATCCATTTTATATTTTTAAATTTTGAACAATTTTTTGTATTTTTTTATATTTTCAGGTTAGCGCTCTCAAGGGCCACAAACGATATTGCAGATGGCGTGATTGTCTGTGCGCGAAATGTACATTAATTGCAGAACGTCAACGGGTTATGGCTGCACAGGTGAGTAAATTTAAACGAAATATAATGCGATGAATGAAGGGAGCCTCTCTGTTAAATTTTTTCAAGAGCCCCTGTCGTGGTATGGTAAATAAAAGCTTGGTTCTAATTCAAATCAGATCCGCTAGATCTAAGATATATCGAAAATTTACGCCACATTTTCCTTCCATCTGAAAGTATCTCAAGAGTGGCACCCGATTTAATTCGAGCTTTATGCATCTCAAAAATTCTACCAAACTTAGATAAATTACAGTGCCCCCATAGAGAAATCTCTCACCAATTTTTTCAAACTGTGCACAGCCTTAAGTTCCGGCAATATTATATATAATGTGAAAATGGGATACATTTGTCCACTATGTTTGGCAACAAGGCACAAGCGGCATCAGTTTTCAATTTTTGAAGAATTATAAATCAAATCCAAAACTGACTCCAGCAAAGGGTCAACATTTTTTTTTTCTGAGTCGACCCATATTTGTGTCGATCCCTCTATCCCTATGTCCATATTATTTTCACTCTTCAGCTCGCAGCTTTGGAAATTTTGCATGTATAAAGGGTTAGAGAGCCTATTACATATTTTTGGAGATTATCGCAATATATTTAGGGGTTGAAGGGACCAAAAATTTAAAGTTTTCACTATTTATGAAAGTTAGAAGTTAAGGAAAATTGAAGCGTAATTTTGCATGGGGTTAAGATAGTTCTGAAGCCTACAATTAGTCGGCCATCGGATAAATTTGAAAGGATGAAATGACTCTTAACTCTTGAGTGAAAAATACCAAAACTGACGTTCAACCGCAAATATTTCTGATAATAAAAGGCACTTGTCGGGAAAATCACAAACACTTGAAAAGGACACTTCAAGCTTTACATGCATGATTTACGCGATGCTGATTTCGTTGACGTTTATGTCAGATATCGAAGATACAGAAAATATATTCAGAAATAGAAATTTTGAACAAAAATTGTTTGTTTAGACAGACAGTGTAAATACAGAACATTTAGATCCGGTTGATATCCAAGAGGTATGTGAATGCCTCTGTGAAAGAATGACAACTCTTCTTAAAAATTAGATACATGAAATATTCATGCCGCTGCAGCCAAATGTGATGATTTACCAACTTCCTCAAATACTGGCGGTTTACTCTTGTAATTTTTAGAAGTCGAAGATTTTTTGAAAAGATTGGTTACGGATTTATTCGGTTTCTACGAAAGAAACGACAACCAATCAGAACATTTGCTTTAAATGTGCATACAATTTTTTATAAACCATAAGCTAATAGAAAATTATAGAAAAAAATGTAATATTTCGATCCGCTCCACTCTAACATCTGCTTTGTAGAAATCAGATAAATTTCTAGGATGACCAGACGGTAAATTCCATCTGGTGCTTCTTCATTTCTAATGGTGTCTATGCGGTTAAAACCGGCTAATAAAAGTATAAAACGCTATGAAGCACACTTCGGGACAATTAGAAGTTTGGTATTTTTTCCTGGGAATATTTTTTGTGGTAATTAATTTCGACATATGTTTGGAAATCTTTTATTTTTTTCTATTACCTCTTTATTATTTCCTAAAATCGTATTTTTGGACCGAAATTCTTTTTAAACAACTCCAGTATTTGTCCACGTCGTTCTTTCAGGTTGCTCTGCGACGCCAGCAAGCCCAAGAGGAGAATGAGGCACGCGAGTTGGGTCTACTCTACACAAATGTACCGCCAAGGGTACCATCACAAAATGCCGGGGGTGAGGGATCGACACCAACGACAACACCATCATCACAACTCAGTCCACAGAATACATCTACAAATGGCGTGTTTCACACTGGAATACCTTCACCGCCAAGTGATGGTCTGGACTCAACATCACATCATCACAGTCGTATGCAGTTTAGCAGCAATGGTAGCTCGGGCGGAGGTGGTGGCGGCGGCGGTAATGGTACCAATTCTGGTGATTCTGATTCCGAAATGCGCATACGGGCCGAAAGACTGTCAATGGGTTTCTCACCAGATCGCACCGAAGTTGAAAGTCCTGGTAAGTTAGTGTTACATAATTATAACTTTTTAATGATTTGTGTGTATTTCGTTGGCTATTGTTGTTCACTTTTTTGCTAATGGTAACATTTTCGCTTGCGTTTGGCAAGTCATAACAATACCCACAACATGTATGTATGTAGCTTCGAACCAAACCAAATTCTCAAGTGTATATGCAACACTTGAGCATAAGAAGTGTGTTGCCTTGCCTGCCTTTCTCCCTCTTTGGCGTTTTCTTCTTTTTTCGTCGTTTTTTTTTTTCTTCAATTGCAACTTTGTCAAAGCATTTAGGGTTTGAAAAAAGTCATTTTTTCGCGTTGAAGTTACTTGAAATCATAAAATAACCACACAAATTTATGTTGGCACTTGTATTGTTGTTGATTGTGTGTTGAAAGTGTTACCGGGTATAAACATGTTGTAAATACCTTTTTTTTTAAATCGTGCTAACCACATGCTTTGAATGTAATTTGGTTATGCAATATGGAACAGTGGAGAAAAGGAGGACCAAACTAGGTTTTTTTAAGGTTTTTGGAAGACTCTTCGAAGGGACTTCTTTCATACAAGGCCCTTTGAAAAGTCTTCTCCCATAGAAGACCTCCTGAAGGGTCTTCCTCTATAGATGAAAGGTGTTATTATATAAAAGTTTTTTCGAGGTCTTCTTCTGTAGAAGACCCTCCCAAAGGTCTTCCTTTTTAGAAGATCATCTATAGAAGACGTTCTGAAGGGTCTTTCTCCAAGAAGACCTGCGGGAAGGTCTTCTTCTATAGGTCGTCTTCTATAGAAGACTGTCTAAAAGGTCTTCTTCTGTAAAAGACTGTCTAAAAGGTCTTCTTCTTTTATAGAAAAGATTCTGAAAGGTCTTCTTCTATAGAAGACCTTCTGTAAGGTCTTCTTCTATAGAAGACCTTCTGTAAGGTCTTCTTCTATAGAAGACATTCCAAGAGGTCGTCCTCCATAGCAGACCTTCTAAGGGGTCGTCTTCTATAGAAGACCTTCTAAGGGGTCGTCTTCTATAGAAGACCTTCTAAGGGGTCGTCTTCTATAGAAGACCTTCTAAGAGGTCTTCTACTATAGAAGACCTCCTAAGAGGTCTTCTACTATAGAAAACCTTCTAAGAGGTCTTCTTCTATAGAAGACCTTCTGAATGGTCTTCTTGTATAGAAGACCCATTTAATGGTATTCTTCTATAGAAGATCTTCTAAGAGGTCTTCTTCTATAGAAGACCTTCTAAGAGGTCTTCTTCTATAGAAGACCTTCTAAGAGGTCTTCTTCTATAGAAGACCTTCTAAGAGGTCTTCTTCTATAGAAGACCTTCTAAGAGGTCTTCTTCTATAGAAGACCTTCTAAGAGGTCTTCTTCTATAGAAGACCTTCTAAGAGGTCTTCTTCTATAGAAGACCTTCTAAGAGGTCTTCTTCTATAGAATACCTTCTAAGAGGTCTTCTTCGATAGAAGATCTTCTAAGAGGTCTTCTCCTATAAAAGACCTTCTAAGAGGTCTTCTTCTATAGAAGATGTTCTGAAAGGTCTGCTTCTATAGAAGATCTTCTGAAGGGTCTGCTTCAATAGAAGACCTTCTGTAGGGTCTGCTTCTATAGAAGACCTTCTGAATGGTCTTCTTGTATAGAAGACCCTTTTAATGGTATTCTTCTATAGAAGACTTTCGGAGAAGTCTTCTTCTATAGAAAACCATTTGGAAGGTCTTCTTCTATAGAAAACCTTTGGAAAGATTTTCTTCTATAGACGACCTTTGGAAAGATATTCTTCTATAGAAGACCTTCTGAAAGGACTTCCTCTACAGAAGACCTTTTGAAAGGTCTTCTTCCATAGAAGTTCCAAAGTTAAAGTTCCAAAGAAGAATTGCTGAAAGGTCTTCATCTATAGAATATATTCTGAAAGAACTTCTCCATCTAGAGAAGACCTTAGAGAGGTCTTCCTCTATAGAAACCCTTTTGAAAGGTACTCTTCTAAAAAAGTCCTTTTGCAAGGTCTTCTTTTATAGAAGTCCTTGTGCAGGTCTTCTTTTATAGGAGACTTTTAGCAAGGTCTTCTTCTATAGAAGACGTTTTGTAAGAACTCCCCTTGAAACGCCTTTTACAAGCTCTTCCTTTACAGAAAACCTATACATTTTTCCACTGACGACAGTTTTAGAGGGCGTTTGTTTGGAAATACTTCTGTTATAGAATAAATTGAAAACTTTTCTTTAAAATATCTTATCTCACAAGAAAATCTTTTATTAATAAAAAAAGAATATATTACTATAAAAAACATCCGCTATAAAAATCTTATCAATTTTTGCAAAACAGGTCGATTTCCAATCCCACTGTGCAGATTTCTTTCACCTTCCAAACAAACAAAAGATTTTCCACATCTCTTGTTCTGTCAAAAGAAATTTAACGGTGTACATTTTTACGCTTCTGCAACTTGTTACGATGGTCTTTGAAACACGGCTTACACGGCAACAACATTACACAGTTGTTCTTTTCGTTTGTTCTTCTAATATCGCCAACACCTAGAGCTTTGAGCGAAGGGGCTGAGGTTGAACATAGCTCTGTTTATGAAAATTAACGAAGCTGTTAAACGTTGGTAAAGGCAAAAACTCAACAAAACAATTGAGTTTTTGCCTTTACCAATATATATGGTGAGATTGTTAAGAATCTGGCAGGATTTTGGGGAGAATTGCAACATGCCATGTCATTATGTGTCAACGTCGTTTTTGTGTTGGCAAAAAGCCACAGCTTTTCTAACATGGTTAAATACAAATTAAAGCTAGCGTAAAGTTTGTGGCAATTTGGACTGAAGTGTTACATTAAGAGGCATGTGTTTTAAGAGGACCTCCCTCTATACCATATAAATTTTGATATGAAATTTATTTATGAAATCTAAGCAGATAAACGAAAATCTGAGAATAGGAGCAACAGCTCATAGCAAGATTTCAACTCCTCTTATGATTTTTTGGACATAAGATTTTTTGGACATAAGCTTTTATATAAGTACATGAACCAATACCAAATACCGATATCGGTAATATCATTTGGCCGACATACGAAGATATGGACCTAGTTTTTTTTCTCATAGAAAGTGGTACCCATTACTACTACTACCACTATATTAAATTTTAAACAATTCCAATAAAGACAAATTGCGAATTTACAATTTGAAAAGATTCGTTAAGTATTGAAAATTATCCTGACATTCAGATCGTGCGTTTGTAAAAGTATTGGGATGTGTGAAGCTTAAAGAAAATCTGATGTGTTTTCTAGAATTTTATGAACGTTTTGTTTTTCAAAAATTTGACCCCTTTGTGGGGGAGGCACCAGAAGAAGTGGACCGATCATTTCGTGGTTATTTGACCCGTTTTAGGTGAGGTACGAGAAAAAGTGGTCCGTTATTAACACTAACTAACACACTAACACAAAATCGTTCGTGGAAAGTATTGAATTGTGCGAAATTTGAAGATAATCGGAATTATATTTTACATTTTATAATTGTTAAAATTATTCAAAATTTGAATCCTCTCTGGGGAAGATATTTAATGGAGTAGGCCAATATTATCCAATATTAGGATTTAAAAAAGTTTGAACAACATCGGATGATTATTTCTCTTTTTATGAAATAAAATATTTTGTTTGATATGATATTTGACCCTTTCTGGTGGAGGTACCAGAGGGAGTGATTCGATATACCTTATCTTTACGACAGATCTTATATTAGTAGATAAATTGCAATGTGCCGAGTTAGAAAGCGATCGGATGCTCGGAGTGGTCCGATATATTCTATATTCACACATGATTTTGTGTTAAAAGAAATATGGGGATGTGTAATTTTGAAGAGAATCGGATATTTATTTCCATTTTATAAGAATTATTATTATTCGATGTTGACCCATTGTGGGGGAGGTTCATGATGAAGTTGGCCGATATTGTTCATTTTCGCACATGTCCTAACACTGATAAAAATATTGTGAATTGCAAATTTTGCACAAAATTTGATGATATTTTCTTTTTTTATGCGGTAACTTATTTTTTGTGAAATTTTTGACTTTGACTCCCAACTCGACCTTTGATAAAAATATGACTGTACAAATTTTGGATCAAATCGGATAATCCCTTCAGACAGACTGACGGACCTCTAAGTCGACACTGTCTTCAAATAGATTTGAATAGACCTAGTGTCTAAAACTATTATTTCTATTAGGCACAGCATTAGAAACAGGAATTTCGGCATTGTAACCAAAATGATTATCGTTCATTTCACCCTCTATAAATTAACCGATCATCTCCGCTGTGCTTAAAATTGTGCGATAATCGGACTACAATTGTTGCCTGTGCAAAATCAGGTCAATATATTGGATGCGGTGGGTCTTAGGCGTTAAAACGTTCTTGCATTTCTTGGCAAAAAAAAATATTAATATTATCTCACGGTTATGTTACGATTCTCAGCACCTTTGAAGACGTGACATTTGCTTTTGTAGCTCTTCCAATGCTTCCGGCTGAATTTCACTCTAAAATCGACAATTCAGCTCCTTACATAACCATAGGGCCACAACTGAGCTTTGTCGCTGAACACAAGAATCAAACAGGCGTTGATTTGCAAGGGTCGTTTGTAAGACGGAGGATGATAGCCATTACAAACAAGTAAAAAAATAAGCTAATTTCGGGCGGGCCGAACTTTTTATACCCTCCACCATTCGGAGGGAACTTGAAAAATTTCCGTCGAAAAATACCGCTCAAATGAAAACCTTTATGCGTGGGCTATACGAAGACGTGATGCTGGATAAATAATTTTTTTCTAGGCTGTAGTAACGATTTCGAACTTCAAATACGAAATTCGAAACAATTCCGGTGAATAGTGTCACTAATATCATAAAAATACCGAATAGCGGCAGGTATCGCTGTATGGGGGCTATACTAAGACGTGAGCCTGCATATACAATTTGTATTACCCATTTATACCATACCCGCAATAGGTTGTAGTACCCATTAGAAACTTCAAATACGAAA